AGGATGAGTCCTGTAAGGCGATTCATCTAGCTCTTGCTGCCACCATTCTGACAGTCATCATCATACTTGATATACCCATTAACATGGCAAGTATTGTAGTAACAGTTGGGGTCCTCTCGATAATGCTGCTGAATCAGGTGATAAAAATACTTGTAGTAAAACATCAAGTCATCATAACGTCCATCATACCCATCGTTGCCAGCAGCAATGGCAGTTGTTGTGGTAGCAGTGCTACTGCTGTCAGAGACCTGATCAGGCATCTTTTCTCCATTTCGTTCCTCCAACTGAAGCCTGTTGGTAATAAAGCCATGGTAGAGAAAGTAGATGGCCTCAATAGTGACCATATGAGAGCGATCAGTGTTTTGGAATCACCAGAAGCATGTGATGTGGGGGCAGATAGTGACAGTCTGGAACTTTCTGATGTTTTGGTCATGGAACATGATGCTCCATGCCTGGTTCCATGTGCCGTCGACCACGATAGCCTGGTCGAACGAGGCAGGATCGATCTGGTCAATGCACACAGTGTCTTATTTGTCATTGGAGGTGGGGGTACACAATCACATGCAGTGCCAATTGGGTTAGGATGATAAAATAATAGAAGCAACAGACTTAGTTATTGTGATGCTGTAAACAGACATAGCATCAAGAGCAAAGAAGGAAGCTGGCATTTATTCCTTTTCCCTACAGCTGGTGGGAATAAATACTCAAATAAGCAGCTATCAGTGTAGCAACAATTAATATGCTAATTAAATGCATGCTATGAAAATTACTGTGACACAGGATATGCCATTGCTGGGAGCTGGCCCTTTGGCACATCCAGGGCTAATAGCTGGTAGTAATATTCATGACATTTGTTAACTAGGATTTGCTTCCTTAGGAGTTGCTCTCTGAAGGACTGGCTGTCTTGCTTTGCATCAGTGCCCAGGCCCGTGTCATTCGTTGACTAGCATGCTTACTTCCTTATTTAGCAAGCCAGCTCATTCTCACTGGCTGGCTGAACAGGTAGAAGGAAGGAGGAGTGTGGTGTCGAATTCAGCTTTTCAGTAGTTATAGACTATAAATATTTTCATCAGAACCTGTGGCAAGGCCCTTATCTCCCTGCACCAACTGCCATGGCTCATTAGCCGAGGGAGGTGATAGTGGTAATGTTGAATAGTTCATAATAAAAGATGATATGAGAGGGAGTGTGGCAGGACACTGAGAGGGGATGTAAAGTGTGAGAAGCGCAACAAGACGCTGAGAGGAGAGATATGGAAAGTGTAAGAAGCGTGACAGGATGCTGGGAGAAGGGATGAGTAGCAGGACTCTGTGAGGGGGGATGACATGTAGGTGTATAAAATTAGGCTTTTGTATTATTGAGATATTGGAGTAATCTACCTAAAGGGAAATGTCGTTAGGGGTCTTCCTATGTTTTTAAATACTCGGGCCGTGGCATCTCAGGGAGAGCATGGCCAGTTGTGATATAAAAATGGGGGCCGTGGAGGCGCATGCTACTCACACAGTCGAGTAGGCAGTGCAATTCTCCATGTGGCACAGTTATTCGTTAGAGAATGTTTAGCAAAATAATACTAATGTGGTATTAGTACTACCAAGGGCGGATAGCAGTGGGAGAGGATGAGATCGGCACATAGGGGCGTGGAGAATAGAGAGGTTCATGTGTTGGTTAGACATCTCTTATGTAGCTTGTCCGACCTCGTTATTGAAATGTCAGAAATTGTTACGACATTATTTGGCTGTATGATCTGAATGTTTGGGTTTGTTACAACAAACAGAAATGAAGTACACGGTGCTATGGCCCAATGGTTAAGGCGCCTGACTACGGATCAGGAGATTCCAGGTTCGACTCCTGGTAGCATCGCTTTTTGCAATATATCTCTCTAAAGCTGAGGCACACTCAATTTTTTTCCTGAGCCTGTTTGTCGTAAGTTGGCGTCAAGCCCAGTCGCTGTTGCGCAGAACAGGAGGGGAGTTGAAGGAGGTGGCTTTATATTGTCGTGGGGTGGAAATGGCGGGTGGTCTCAGGGCTATTGTCATGGGGATCGGC